GAGGCCGCTGCTACTCAGCCACCGCACATGACTCAGTCTCACGCTTGCAAGCCCTGGGACCAGCAGACCTCCTGTCAGGTGCAAGAACCAACCCGCTCGTTGCTGCCCCAGGGCCTTTGCGTGTCCTGTCTGCCCTTCTGGCTCTCGGCCACACCTTCCCCTCCCCGGAACCAGTCACGACCCACATTCTCCTTAGCTACTTGTGTAACGGCTTATTGTCCTCCTCACTCTCAGAAGTGGAAGCTCCACGAGGGCTGTGACCTGTCCTGCCTTGTGTCACTGTTCCTAGAAATTAGCAAAGCACAGGGAGGCGCTCTAAATAAAAATGTAGCAAATCAATGACTGTTTTTCGATAGCACTGTTTTGCAACAACATAAGTAGCAGGTTCGTGGTGGAATAAAGAGAAAGCTGAGAATAAGAAAAGAACCTGCCTGCAACTCTATCGCACGCTGCTAAACACTGTCAATGTTTTGGTGTGGATTTGCAGAATGGTTTTGGACAGAAACTGCTATAGTGTTTACCGCTCTGAACATAATCACGACTCTAAAATCTCTACCCAAAACAGTATTTGTTATTTCTTGAAACAAATAATAAAGTAGAATTTGGCAGTATAGTAAACCGTTTAATAAAAGCAATGTGAAAACTCAAAAGTAATCACGTGGGTGGGTCTTTAGCCCTTACAGAGGAATTCGAGGTTTTCAAGATCGATGCATAAAGCTCATAAAAACGGCATTTTGATGGCTGCCAAATGAAAAGGAGAAAGATTAAGAGGTACAAATCGGTAGATACAAAACAGTCACGGGGATGTAGAGCGCAGCACGGGGAACAGAGTCAGCAGTATTGTAATAACTCCATACACGTCAGGTGGGTACTGGATTTATCGGGGGGATCACTTCGTGAGTTACGTAAATGTCTAATCGCTGTATTGTATACCTGAAACTAACATAATATTGTATGTAAACTATAATAGAAAAAATAAAAATATAAAAAAGTTTTAAAAATTAAGACTAGTACATTAAGTTGAACAGACAAATCTGTAGCACACCCAACCAACCTAAAACAAATGTCAGGCACCATACAGAAGTCTTAAGATCACAGATCCTCCTGTGACTTACTGTCACCGATGGAAACGTTCCATAGCACACACCAAACCGACGCCGCCTCTCGGGAGCCGAGGGAGGGAAGTGTTCCGGAAAGGAGGGAGGAAAACCTGTCAGCTACCGTGAGAAAGAGCTGAGTGCACGCGGACAGCGGGCTGCGCTGTGCTGCTGAGACCGTGGGGAGACCCTCACGGACGGGCCCGGGGGACACCACACGTTCAGGAGTGGCGGGGGGGGGGGGCGGGGGGGGGCGCGGGCGGGGGCCCC